TAAAGTAATTTGCACTTTTCGTTCCATTTGGATTACGTTGAGTTTCAGATCGTAGTGTCAAATTATGTCTTCTTCCAGTTCTCAACTTGAAGAATGGTCATCTGTTGGTTTTACAAATGTTTCGCATTAGGAGATTATTTAAGACGACGCAAATTCAATCGGCTTTGCAATGTTCCTCCATAAAAAATACAACAGAGTTGACACGCATCGCAAAAGCTGCGTATCATGTTTGCGTAATGGCGTGATGGAGTGCATATTTTTCCCCTGCACGAAATCTATGCACCTTGAAGGCTAAACTCCATAAGCGACATTGCAACGCCAACTCCAATTTAATTCCAATCGCTGATTAGAACCCTTCCTGAGAACCATAAGCTGCCGTTTACAAGATTAACATTTGAAATAGACATAATGTTCCACCGCATTTCTGAAATTACAAAGGCAGGGAAAATGCCTACGAATTAAGTAGTCATTTAATCAGAGGAAGGTTATTGTAGATGGTCGAATAAAGGTACCTTCAGTAGTCAACGCCCTGAGGTGCCCGAAATATTACGTGATTGCATAGAAAGATAACCAATCTAACAGCCCTACTTATGCAATGCTTCCTGATCGATCACGTATAAGCATGGCTTCTCATCGCCAGTAATAATAGGTCATTTAGCGGATATGATTCCGCGTCTCATTCTCCCCCCCCCTCCCCAGCCATGTCAGAAGTGAAGAAATGTCACATTGGAGGTTTGTCTCCCATGAACACCCATCAGATCCAGACGGCACTTTGGCAGGCAGCTCCTGGACATATCCGCGTCCAACTGTGCGACTCTGAACACTAGTCATGTTCAAACCCCAAGGCAGAACACTCAGAGAAGAATGCCTCCCCCCTGATTCACTGAAATTATCTCATCGTGAAACAAAGCCAGCAGTCGTAGCATAACATCAATTTCAGCCTCAGATAGCAAATCTACCCGGAGGCAGAGCCTAAATAAAAGAGCAATTTTTGTATTTGCACGTCCAAGAAAATCGAAAGACAAAAGAAGCGGAATATTGTGTCTTTCAGTTTAGTCGTTGGCGCACAATACTGCATCCGTCTACGCCTGTGAACGAAAGATCTCACGAAATGTTAGGTAAACTTCTGAAATGCGCTTTCAATTAGGATAGGTTACTTAACTGGGGTTGCGACGTTACCTAACATGTGGCATAATCGTCTGATGTTTCAGACACCTGCAGGTCTTTTCAGTCACCTACAAAAACCTCTCTCAACATATATGTCTACTTAACTAGTCTGCATTTCCTTTACAAGTGTTTGATGACCGCGAGAATTAAGTCGTTTATTCAGGGAGAAACCCCATACAAATACTATTTCTTGTAAACATTTGATAGCGAATTATGCCTTCTTCAAACTTTATACTTAAGGAAGGGGCACCGTCAGACCATGAAAATGATTCTCGTTATGAGATTTTCAGAACGATGCAATGTCCATGCGAATAACACCGTATCTGTGTGTTTATCGATGCCCTCATCAAAAATACAAAATAACTGAGGCTCACTATGACGAATTATGAGCTGCATGTGGTGTCATTCTACCAGAACAATCTTGTTAATGTCCGTGAAACCGGTTAGCTCGTTGGCTTCGGAAAGGCTCACTGCAAATAACTACTTCTCTTTCCTGTAAAAATTTGATTTTTCAACCTTTGTTATTCCGTCCTCATGCTGGATAACCTAAACGTTTTTCTTACTAATTGATCTGCCCCTCAGACTGCATTAGGTTTGCGACCATCACGGTCACACGAGGCGACTTGGCTGCGCACAAGCCTGTACTCTTCGATCTTTCAGTTCTCGGTGTCATCAGGTTGAAAGGCCGATGGCTGGACTGACGGCCAGTCTCCCACACGAGACAGCACACACTCAGATGGTCGCTAGCTCAACCAGACCCCTCCTATCGCGTAACCTTTCAATTGCCCTTGCTGTTGTTGCTTACCGCATGGAAAATTTGTCAGACGACAGTGCGATGTGGGTGGCTGGAACGACAGGCTGACTGCCAGAGCAGAGGGGTCATGATACGTTCATTGGGCGAATGAGATTCCTCGGCCCCGTGTCAAGGGTGAAGAAATGACATAGTGCATTGTTTGACCCATTTGAACACCTACCAGATGCAAACTACAATTTGGTAGGCAGCTTCTGGTCGTTCCCACGTCGCACCGCGCGGCCCTGAGCACTAATCATGTGCAAAGCACAAGGCGGTACATTCGGTGAAAAACCACTCCCTGATTTACTGAAGTAATCTAACCGTGGTGTAAGCTCTGCAATTGAGGTATATCGAATTCATTGATATTTTGGCAGATTTTTAATAAATCATTTTGACCCAACTGTGAAAAACTCGGCGCCTCGGTGGGATTCGAACCCACGCAGTAAGGGGAAGGCTTTAGCGCAGCCAACGCTCTAACCACCTGAGCTACGAATTATTAGCATAAAACCAATTTTCGCCTCAGGTAGCAAAATCAACCTGTACACAGAGCCCATATAAAACAGCTATCTCGGCAATTTTTGGGTAATTGCTGTGTTTGCACATAGAAACATGATTTGATTTTCACGTTAACGCTTAGCGCAAAATACCGAATACGCCTGAGCTTGTAAGTGACCAATCTCTTGAAATGTTAACCGACTTTGTGGAACGCCTTTTCGACCAGAAAGTATTTTTAAGTGGGGTCGCGATATTCCTTAACGTGTGGCATAGTCTTTGGATGTTTCAAACACCTCAGGATGTTGGCTTTTTAGTAACTCACGCGGTACGAAATGAGTAATTACTTGGTGCATATTTTATCGGCCGATTTCCGATGTCTTTATAAAATTAGTTGGAATTTAGAGAGAAATTCTACAAAAAATATCATATCTTGTGCTCACTTGGCAACAAGCCACGCCTACTTCGATGTCCATACTTGAACAAAGGACATCTTTCTGCCCTAAACATACTTCTCACTAGGATATTTTTGAGGACGCTGCAGTGTCTACTCGAAGAACATCATATATTTCTGTTTGATTATGCTCTACATAAACTTGAGAACACACTTCAAACTCCTTGCAAGGTTTTTGAGCTTTGTATGGTATTTTCTTAATGGCGTGAAGGAATGTGCGTTTTTTCTCGGCTGGAACGCATACTTCTTGAAGACTGACGTCCATAGACGAAAGTGCAATGACAGACCGCGTTTGAAACTATTCGGGGAACAAAAATTATTCTGCAACCAACTGCTGCATTGTTTCAAAAAACGCATGATTATCTATCGTGTGTTTGAGACAAATGTAGCAACAAAGACCGTTAGGGAAAATGCCTACCAACAAAGTAATCATCTTTAGTGAGTTGAGTCCTTGTAGTTTACCGAAAAGAAGTTCATTCAAAAGCCTCCCACGATTTACTGAAATAATCTAACTGTGAAATAAATCCAGCAGTCGTGACATATCGAACTATTAGCAAGAATTCAATTTTAGCCTCAGGTAGCACAATCTACCCGTAGGCAGAGCCTAAATAAAATATGGGCGTGGATTGGTTCTGCTGCCCCACTTGATTTATATCATATGATTAGCTAGCTGAAACATTTTTAGCTCAAGACACGCGCAGGGAAGCGCCTGTTAACCGATGCGTAGTGTGACCGTGTAGTGTGGCGTGTACATACTCCCCGCGGCACAGCCACTCGCTGGATTCAGAGGACAAGGAAGGCCCAATCAGAAGTAGAAGGCCACAGAGGGAACCGCGTGGTAATTCGCAGTGCACGGCCACTATAGTCTAACCGACGGAGTTTCACACCGTCTGAACAATGACATAAGCAAGACTATTTAGCCACTGGCTGAGCTGACATGATGAAGGGGGTCCAAGCAGGGCTCGAAAGACGCGCAGGGAAGCGCGTGCGAACTGGTACCTGATGTGACCGAGGCTGGAGTATAAGCATTACAGTCCGGGCACAGTCGCTCGCTGGATCAAGGTAGTAAGGAAGACGCAATATGTAAAGCCGGCGTAATCGTACCTGCTAGAATTGTTTTATTTGGCTAACGGGATGGTATCAATCAAGTGGGGCTGGAAAACCAAACCTCAACAAAATATCTATCTTGACCGTTTTTGGACAATTTCACTGTTTGCCCATCCAAACAAGTTGATAAGCAGAAGAATCGGCGTATGGTGTGATTTTCACGTTATTCTTTAACTGTCAGTGTTGAGTACGCATCAGCCTGTGATTGACGGATCTCATGAAATGCCAGTCGGAATTCTGAAATGAGTTTTCGACTAGGAAGGATCACTTAAATGGCGTTGTGACGTTAATTAGCTTGTGGCATAATCCTGTGATGCTTTAGCCACCTCAGGGTGTTGGCATTTGAGTGCAGTTCTTTTCAGTCAACCGCAAATCCCACACGGAACGTATAACTACATAATTCGTGTGCATTCCCATTACCGATGTTTCAATTTATTTAAAATTAATTCGTCTTTTAGTGGAAAACTCCATGGAAATAATACTCCTTGTAACCATTTGGTAGCGAATCGTGACATTTTCGAATTTTCTACTTAAGGGAAGGGCATTTTTCGGCTTAAAAATGTCTTATATTATGATGTTTTTTAGGACGGTGAAGTGTCCTTTCGACGAACATCAGTTCAGTTCAGTTCAGTTTATTGAGGGAAATGTAGGTCTTCACCTTTGAACTCCCTATCTGTTTACAAGCAACTGCAAAATCTCAAAAACTCGAAAAGGTATCATAAAGTAACAAATAATCGGAAAAGCGTCAGGTCTGTACAGACAAACAAACTGTCTCGAATTTTAGTGGTACGAGCAGTTGTAGAGCTGTCGTTTCGAGTGCAGCGAAATAAATAATATGTCCGGGGACAAAATTTGCATATGTGCATGTCAATAAGCGTAGGCAATGGGGTGGTACAATAATAAGTTCAATTCAAAATGTTAATGAAATATAGCAAGTAGTATTATAATAGCGGAATTTGTCGAGGTTACAGAGATCGGGGTGGTTATTTAGTGCACACAGATACACAAATCCAGCTTCCTCTTAAAGACCTCGACGGAAGCCGACATAACGACATCCACAGGCAGGGCATTCCAGGCTTCTAGCACTCTGTTGGAGAAGAACTTTCGTGTGTCAAGTCTGGCCCCTGTCACACGTAGTGTCAATGGATGGCCTCGTAGATTTGTGGTGGTTGCGAACTCGAAGAAGTCACCCGGTACGAGGCTGCAGTCCTGACCGCGTATGATACGGAAGCCTTGTATCAGGTCACCCCGTAACTGCCTGTAACTCAACGGAAAGAGATGAAGGTTAGCTAACCGCGTTGCATATGGTAGTGAACCCTGTCCTGCCACAAGTTTCGTTGCACGTCTTTGAACCCTTTCAAGGATGCTGAGGTCCTTCGCGGTCCAGGGTCTCCAAGCTTGGATAGCAAATTCTAGTTGCGGACGCACAAAAGTTCGAAAGACTTTAGCGAAGCAGTTTTCGTCAAAGGCAGAGAAAGCCCGCTTGACAAGGTAGAGGACTGGCATTGCAGACTTGGCTATCTTCGTGCAGTGCAGCGAGGGTTTGAGCGAGGTCGTAATCCATACTCCCAGGTCCTTCTGCGAGTCCACTTCTTGCAGTGGTATACCATTTAGGCAGTAGGCCATATGGTTCGGAGAGCGAGCTCTGCCGACTCGTAGAATATTGCACTTTTTCTCGTTGAACGGCAGAAGCCAGGCCTTTGACCACTGTTGGAGTCGATTTAGGTTCGCCTGCAGATGCTCTTCGTCATCTGCAGTTCGAATGACGCTCCAGAGCTTAATGTCATCCGCAAACATGGCGAAACCACAATCCAGTTCACTCACGCAATCGTTGACGTAAATGATGAACAAAGTAGGGCCAAGAACTGAGCCTTGGGGAACACCGCTTTCAACGGCAACCTCCGTCGACTTCTGGCCACCGTATCTGTGTGTTTAATTATGCTTCTCACAAATTGTACAAGATATTTGGCACTCCTTGCAACGTTCTCCGATTTGCATATGGTATTTTCTTGATGATGCGAAATAATGCACTTTTTTCTTAAACGGAGCAAACGAACCTTGAAGACTGAATTCTGTAAACGAAAGTGCAACGGCAGATCGAGCTCAAAACTATTCGGGAACCAAAACTCTCACTGCATATGCAAGACGTGATATTCTGTCAAATGAGTACACGAAATTATGTGTTTTAAGGAGTTATTATAAAACATGTTTGAAATTACCAGGGCATCGAGGAGCAATTGGGGAAATACTTACCAGATAAGTAGTCATTTTACCAAGTAGGGTTCCTGCTGGCATACGAAACAGCGCTACGATGTGTTCAGCTAGAACTCCCCAAAACCCCATCTAATAAGATCCTGCTCTAACTATCAGAAGTTTGCTGTCCTGGTTTCAATAACCCATTTTGTTAAGATGAACTTTAACATTTTCGAACTTATTGAGCGTTAATGCTGTCGGCATGTCGTTCACTGGTATCTAACGAATTCCTCAGCCTTTAGAACACATTTCTCTAGCAGTCTTGTGCAGTTCGAATGCTGAAATTACCTATAAAGCTTTGCGTCTTAACTGATACTTAATGCAGTTTTTAATTGCCTCTGTCCTGATTCAATTTGAATTCATTCATCGTGCTACACGTTTAGCACGCACACTCACTGCTGCAGTTATAACATCACGTGTCTGAAGTGGTCAGACTAGCCGAAAAATTCTAAGAATTACGGCACATCCTTTGAAGACTTAGAGCCCTTAAATACTTCGAATGGTATTCTGTAACGAATGGTGAGACATTCAGGCCTGGAGACCCTGGACTGTTAAGGATCGTACCACCCTCGAAAAAGTCCAACGACGGGCAACCAAGCTTGTCAGAGGTCATAAAAACCTACCTTACGAAACCAGACTTTCAAATCTAAACCTCTTTCCCCTGGACTACAGACAACTCCGTGGCGACTTAATTCAAACGTTTAGAATGTTACGGGGTCAGGACTGCTGCCTCGCATCCGGCGACTTCTTTGAGCTGGCCACCACTACTAGCTTGAGAGGACACCCTCTGAAACTACGTGTGACAGGAGCGAGACTGGACGCAAGAAGGTCCTTCTTCAGCCACAGAGTGGTAAAGGCGTGGAACGCCCTACCTTTGGATGTCGTCATGTCCTCATCCGTGGACTCATTTAAGAGAAAGCTTGACCAGTACAGGGATATGTACCTCCACAGCATCAGAAACTAACAAACCCCCCCTGTGCCACCCGTCCCATCCAACGTTTTATGTTACAAAGCATGCTACTCCCTATATTTTAGTAACATTACGTTTTACAATTTTCGCTATCGCCTGACCGCCACATATGCGCTTGCTTTGATATTACTCGGTCCATTCATTGCCGTACTGGATCTTGTACAATCTTGACACAGAAGGCATTCACAGACAAATTCATACCAGTGACCAATGCTTGTTGTATGTAATTACTTACCTAATTTTTTTCACACTTGCCTTACACATTGTTTTTTATGACGTTATTGTAACCAAAAGGGAGTTCAAAGGCGTTCGCCTACTTTTCCCTTAATAAATCTGATCTGATCTGATCTGATACAGGCGCATTTCCATAACCGTGGTCGGAAGACCAATATTCGAGTATTAGCTAAGGAACCTGGAAAGAAAAATGCAAACGTAAATGATGGTTTTGTTTCGTATGGATCAATTTAGATTTGTCTTCATGTCAACACCTAGGCACAGCATCCTGTTTCGCGACCGACTGCTCTCACCGTACCATACCACAGAGCAATGCATATTAGCCATTCAGTACTTTGTTGGCAAAAAACAATAGTGATACTTACTCTACAGTCATTTGTTGCCCCAACCGCTAAGCACGGCCTGACATTCTGCTCTGGAAAAAAGTATTTGAAGTGCAGCCTTTGGTCAAAGTCGTGCGATGGAATTACCCCATATCCATCATTAATTTTATCCAAAATACCTTCTCGTTATCAGGATTCAAGACTCCCTCTCTAGCGTATTTGATTTTGCCAATATCTCCTACGAATACGAGGTAGACAGAAAAGCAAAAAGTGTAGATGTGCTATGTACTGCAATTTTTACCGAATATTTTGGCTTTAATTTTGAACTCTACCCATCGTTACACGTGCATTCAAGGCAACATTTTGCAGTGCATTTGAAGCATGTTCAATACGTTCCAGGCAGCATTGATAAATACACAAACATTATGCCTTATGCATGGCAATTTTAATCTTAAGACAAGCTATGACTAGAGAATTGTAAAAGGGCTAGATACTCCTTCATCGCATGTACACATTGAAGGACATTGAAAATCGGCCGTAATTGTTCAAACTATCAAAAGATATATTTTTTATGGATTGCAGGTCTTGCAGGCGAGCAGAAAACAGTTCGTTCAAAAGTCGGCACTCAGGCGTGACTGGAAACTCCTAGGATTATGTGACAGGATGAGAAATATGACAATCCCTCTTAAGCAGTCTTTCCCCATCCAAAAAAAATTTTTAGAATTGCGACTAACATTTTATGAAATAATACCACAGCCTCGCAAGAACATGATACCTCGCATGGCATAACTCCAACCTTCAACCTGCAAACCAAAATCTCCTCTTCCAGTCGAAGCACTATTTTGCGAATTGTGGACACCCTGATCAACCCGCATTCGACCCAAAATGACTCGTTGTTTTTCACTTACCAAGCATCATCACTCTTAGCCAATTGTACATTCTCTCATCATGTGTTTAGACTTTTAACAGAAAATTCGCCTACGTTTAGAGTTGTGAGCAGAGCTTTACCCTTGACTGTCCAATTTTATGGGTGTGGAGTCATGAGCCGCTGAGAACGCTGTTTGCTGGGGTGTTCGAATCTTCTTAGGGTAGCGGTGGTCGTGACACTATAACTGTTTCGAGATTACCTCCGTGTGTTCCTTCTGCACGCCAACGTGAAGAGGTTATGCGCCTTCGCCGTACCTGCTTGCTTCACAATCTTTGATGAGGTGGAGAACAGGAGGCACGAGCATGGCAAGCGAGGGAGAGAGGTCGCCTAATCCGAATCCAAATGTCGACTCTGTCTGCTAGCCTGCCGACACGAAGTCCACATCGGCGACTTAAAGCCCACCAATCTGCGGTGATTACAACCAAACACACAAACACACATTCAGTTTTGGTGGACTTCTTTTCAAAACACGACACTTGCAAGTTAGACGACACAGTATAACAAAAAAATGGAAATCATCCATCGCACATTTTATTATGCATCGTATATACACAAACGTCTTCCGATGCCGGATGTCTTCGTGCGAAGGTCATTCACATTCCTAGAAAAATGTGAAATTAATGGACGTCTGCTTTATCAAATATCATCTATCATGAAATGGCACTGCTATGTGCTAAACAGTAGAACTTACGCAGCGTCCTCAGCATTTACCACATACTTATCTTCCCCACAGGAATTGCATTTTGATTATCTTGAAGGAGAAAAATGTAAAGACAGTTTTGTTATCATGGAAGGACATTTTATTATCCTCAGTTTGCATTTTGCTTAAAAAGGCAATGATTCAAACGTATCTTGAGAGTAATTAGCACAAGTGATCTAAGCAATGCCTTGTTTACGCTGGAAGTGTCTTCCTCGACACACTGATGCAGATGGTTGCCCAACCATGGAAGCATTGCAGACCGGTCACTATAGGCTGTGCGTCTGGCCTACGACAGTATTTAATATGCCTAGTCATTGTGGGGTGGAGTTCCTTTGCGTGAAGATGTGCAAGTAGGAGGAACATGCACACACACCACTTCTTGCCAACTGGCGTCGGAACGTGGTAGATAGAGCATTGGATGAATACTCGTCTACATTGCCGGAATATTAGAATTTAAAGGTGTGAATTGCCTTGCGTGTAAAATATACTGATGCCGACAAAAAGACTTACCTGCTGGCTCGATGGGCTTTGGGTTTTGGAAGGCAGCGCCTCTTATGATTGTTGAATAACCAGTCTTGCCTGTATTGCATGCCTCTGTGACTGAGATGGCAACAAGCAGAAACGCTAGGAATGCGAAAAGGTGCATCTTCTTGGATGTTGTCTGGGGGACAGCGAGCATGCCCTGAGCTCGACATCAGGTCATTTTATAAGCTCAATTATTCCATCAGGCATTACGATTCGTCATTTAACCCACCAATATGATGCAATGCGTAATTCTGCCTGTTCGTCTTGAGGCCAGTCATCTGTCAGCATTTTGATTACTCACTGCTGAAAAATGCGAATTATCTTCCCTCAGATTACGGCATTAAGAATACGGACTCTGGATATTTCAACATCGACTAGCGTGTGGAATTTGATGTCCGATGAAGGCACTGATCGTTAGATGACAGATCGTACGGTCGATGGTGCAATATTGGATTCAGAAGAAGTGGATTCATTTGGCAGGTTGAAATGCTGTCCCGACTGATATCCACAAAAGTAGCTGTAGAAAACCATGTTTCGCATTCCATCCGATGTAACCATGCCGTGAATTCCCAGCCTGAAATCAGAGTATGGGCATAGAATGCCTGCCCAATAATTTGAGTGAATCCCGCATTAAGCTGCAATCTGTGCCTCAACGGCCGAGTACTTGGATCTCATATGCGTGTTGTATGACTAGAATATGTACGTGGTGCAATAGACTATGAAAAATGCAGAACGTGACTTAAGACAAGAAACCTGATGACAGAAACAAATATGAGGATAATGGTGTATCAGGAAAGCATACTGACAGCACAAGTATTAGTTAAATGTCCAGATATGCGTTTATCGCGGATATTGTGCCGCTGC